TTTCGCGTATAAGTACCGCAACCATTGGTGGATCAAGGGGAGGATTGGCGATGGGTGCCCCCCCCCTTTTTCCCCAGGAGCACAGGTAGCAGTGTTGAAATTGAAGAAAATTCTTTTCGGCACTCCTTGTCGCCCTCCTCCTCCCCAAGACCCCGGTTAGCGCCGCTAGGACGAACGAGCGAGGAAAGGGGGCGGGGAGGGAGAGGGGGAGACGGCAGAGAGGGGGAGGAGGAGGGAGGAGGGAAGCGGGGGGAGAGAAGGGGGAAGGGGAAATTGCCCAAATCCCCCCTCCGGGGAAGCGCCTTGGATACGCCTATGGCTTCAACACACACATTTCTTCATCCTCAATTTCTGGCAACTTTTTGTAGGTACCACTTGCTCCATTGAGAAATATCGAGGGGCAAAACAGTGAAAAGCAGCATCAGGTTAAAGTACCGCGGTAGGAACTAGTACCTGAGTTGTTTTGCCACAGCCAGTGCCACCGACGATCATCGTCACTTTGTGCGTGTTAATTGCATCCAGAATCTTCTGTTTCATCGCAAATGTTGGCAAACTTTTGCGAAATTCAAGCATTGCTGGGGGAGATATTGCAACTGGTGGTACTCGCATCGATCGAACAGGATTATTCGACCAATTACTGCCCGTGTATCGACCTAAAAAACAAAACTTTTCATCGCATATGGCTAACGTATTTAAACATTATAAACGAAAAATTGCCAGTCAAAATGCTTATTAAGAAATGTAATTGATAAAAATTTACAAACAAATAAAAACTAGCAAATTTAATTTAAAAGTGATTTAAAACATCGAAATTATCGAACAGATTTTTATACTCATTTTAAATATACTTTAATTTAGTATAAGATCGTAGGCAAGGTGGTCGGGATAATCTGATGATTAAGATAACAGAAATATAACAATTAAATTTTTGCCAAGTGCTCTGCTGGATATAGGGCGGATCCATGGGTAGGGGTGATGGAACTTTCGTCTCCCTCTCCCCTCCCCCTTCCTCCTCCTCCTCCGGCGGCACAGGCGCCAGTGCTGCAAAAGCCCGTGTCTAATGCTAAAACTAAAGTAAACTAGAGCCTAAAGTAACTTTAAACTGAAGTAACTCTAACTAGCAATGTTACAATTCTATTCCTAGTTTTGCACAGTTCCAGGATGGGAGGGAACTCTTCACTCCACGCCCCGTCACACTTCCAGGAACCCTGCTCCCCGCTTGTCGGCCCACCCCCCTTCCCCTAAAGACCGTTCTGGATCTGCTGAAAGAATCGCTAAGCTGGTAAAATCCACTTAGCAGATAAGACGAATGCCAGGATCACCAAAAGGTTGATCATCAAGCGATCTAGCGTTGTTCAGAGCAACTGAACAAACTGTTAAATGCACAGCCAGAGAACGAGACTGTACATTATAACTGTTCTAAGCACAATCTACGACAAATAACGAGCGCATTGCTTGATTTATAGACTTAT